AATGTTTGCATATTTGCAAAGCCTGAACGTATTAAAAATAAGAAATCAACAGTTTTCCCTTTCAAAGAACATTTGCTGAGGCAGCAAAAGGTCAACTTCCTTCTGTAGAAGCTACGTCTGAATTACGGATTCATTTTAGATATCAGACTACCTCACATGATATCAAATTACAACTAGAGTAAGTAGTAAGTAGAATCGCTTACATTTGTGGATAGCAAATGATTATTAGGGATTTTCAATCATTCTTAAACGCATTCCTTTGATGTGAAATGAAATTTTGCTGTCTGGTTAAAAGTCAAAAGTATATGTCCACTTTAATGACTGAATTATTTATTTTGTTCTGATCTATTTTAGATCCAGACAAAGGTTAAATTAAAATAGATGAAAGACACAAAACTAGAAGCTCAGGTAATGCATTTGATGGTTTTTTTGTCCCATTTTAAAATTGAATATCAGCACTTTTCAGTAACAATGAATGGTTCTGTGTGTGGTCATAGAACAACCTTGCACAATTTAAGCATAATTTAGAATTCCAACCACCTATTTTTTTTTATTAATGTTATAATAAAATAATATTAGTAAATTATAATACATTATTTCAGTCTGAATTTTTATTCAAATCATTTTAATTCTAATAAATGTGGTCACCTTGAATCAGAAAAGTAGAACATGAGCAGAGAAATTGTAGAGGGGGACTTTAAACAGGAAATAAGCAGGGGAGAGGTCAGAGCAGATTCAGCAGGTGGGGAACCTAAAATCAGCTGTAACGTCTCAGTGTGGGGAAAAAAATCACAACCATTTCTGCTGAGAGCTTCAGTCCATTTTCTTACACAGCTGAATTCAACCAGATGTGAGCAGATGTTTCCTGAGCTGTCCTGGCTGAGTCAATCCTCTACCCTGACAGTACCCTGTTTATGCTGTATTTATATTACACTATAGAGTTGGTATGAATTCAGTCAGTGAGTCTCTGCTACACTTGATGGAAGCTAACTGTGACCATGATCCCACAGCCACTGTGCATCAGTCACACTGTTCTTTACTTTGAACCCATCACAGTGCAGCAAACTCACCTGTTCATCCTGCACTAACCTGCAGCCTTTAAATAACACAGTCTGCCTCAGTTTGTTTAGCAGCAGCTTTATGAACAAACATCATGTGTCACGTACAGATTCAGAGACATGAGGACTTCCATGTAGGGCTGCCACAAACGAGTATTTTGATAGTCGACTAATCAGATCATCATCCATTGGACGTAAAACGTACAGCTTATTGCACCAGCAGCATCTGCTCTTATATAACTATCATTAGCTTACAGCTTTAAGTGTTTAAGGTATGTGCTAACTAAA